ACGTGGAAAAGAAAAACTTAATGCAGCCAACAAGGGTCCTCCCACTTAGAGAATTTCCTTGAGTCTACACAACATACGTAAGCAGTTTGAGAAAGTCTGCACGTTCTGCATCGGACAGACTGCGTAGCAGCATAGCAATCGGTTCTTCGGTAAGATTGGCCAGGAGCTGGAGGAGACAAATGTAGAGATCACGTTGGCACTTGTCGGTAATGTGTTGGGAGGACAGCTGGTGGGCATGAGGACGGCGATGGATGTGCCGACGAAAAGTGTACTCGAACTGCGTTGGCTGAACCGGGAATCGCATTTTTGAAGAGGGCGTTGAAGAAGTCTGTAGTAAGGGAGGTGCTTCCTCTGACGATTGAGGTGCATGTTGAGGAATTTGTCTGTGGATATCACAGAAATATCTTTCATTACAATGGACAACTGAGTGGTAATTCGCTTACCGCAAATGGCTACAAGATTAACCGATTCAAAGGACTGCAGTATTTAAGTCTGCATTTTGCAAAAGCAAATCTAAAGCGCAATTATGAAATTGAAGGTTGTTCATAACCAGAGAGGGCAGAGGGGCTGGTTTCACTCAGGTTTAGGCGCAAAAGTAAATCAAAGGATAGGTTAAAAAGGACAGCACCCTGATTATGAAGTTTGGATTCGACAGTTAAAAACCCATTTTAAAGTACCTGATGTTCAAACTTTGGCCTAACTTTACGGTACTGCTCTCATTGCGGAGCATATCTTGTGTGTCTATACTACTCATGAAAATCAGTAGACTAAATACATCAGAATCACACAAATACTTATCTCGAACATTGAACCTAAAACACATACCTTCCAATAGGGTTTTGGAACAAAACGCCATGCGCTAAGTACTCGATTTCGACTTCACGCACAAACATTAAGGGGGAAACCTACAAGCTAAAAGCTGCCACCTAAAAATTCCACAAGTAGAGAATCTGTTTTTTTATTAAAATAAGCCACTCATCAACTGCATAGGTAACAAACTAGTAGCCAAACCGCATTAAATACAAGGACAACAAATCACTTAATCTCAACTACTTCCATTAGCCTCCAGGTGTTTTGAGAGGAAAATATCAAGGCTATCGTCTCAGGAAGATTGCCCACGATCAAATCACACCTTGAGCCAATTACCCATGCCACAATAAAGCACACGAAAAGATGTGAACTGACAACGAAATCGCTTTTCACCAAAGCCAGACATTCCGCTCTGCAAAGTTGACGTCTCGATCCAATTTTTTTAAGGGGAAGGGGAGGGGAAACTTGCATAAGGATAAAAGTGACGTGCTTGTGTTTTTGCGTTGTTTTGGTTACCAAACTCCTCCCATCTGTATAATCTGTGATTGCGCACAAATGAGAATTCCTAATCAAAAGCAAGTTTTGCAAGGTGGACACTCTGAGTAGCATAGAGACGGACATCTGTGAAGGCAAAGGTGATAAACTGACGGAGCACACAAGGACTGACCCAATTTTGCCATTATGCTCAATGGGGGGAAGTGGAGGGCGCGACCGAATATCGACAACCTCAGCCTTTTCCGAGGGCAAAACACCTGCAACTTCGAGCACTCGTTCTGGCCATTCGTCATCATTTTCGTCGACTAAAGTAAAACGTTGGTTACGTATAAATCAAGAAACAAGAGATACGAGAAGGAAAATAATAGCCTACTTGTGATGATTATGAGTAGACTACTCGAAGCAATAACTACCGCATCTTCTGAATGGCACTTTGGGGAGAATTTTCGGTCAGGAGGGTTACTAATGGCTTTATTAATATGTAAAATGTCGACTTCACGCCAAATTTGAATGTCGCATATTAGAGCGGACTTGAAGCAAATACCACGGAGGGAAAATCACCATGTTTGCTGCATAAGTTGTTTCATAGTAAATAAACACGGCTATGCGCTTACTATCCGAGTTGTAATCGCCGTTGCTACCCACACTGCCATTGTCGGCTTCACCTTCGCCACCATCGTTGGCGTACCAATAGTGGCTGGAGGAGGCCACCCTCTCAACTTCCGACTCCTCATCGTCGTCTCCGTTTACACTGCCACCACCACCCTCCGTGAGGGTCGCTGTGCTGCCGAACTTGGCCTTAGCTACTGGCGTTGTCGATGCATCGTTTGACACACGTCTGCGTGGTGCCGCATGTTGCAACGAACCGCCTGTGAAAACAGCAGAAAGAAGAACATTCAAAAGATCAAACTGAGAAGGATTAACAATGCCGAAATATGGTAGTAGAAGGATAGTGAGCTTAGATATTTGTTTAACACACCGGCTGCATAAAACTCGATTAGATTTCCAACCCTTATCCATGCTCATTAACCCCTTGAAAAAATTCGAGGGCTGGATTGGAACAACAGCGAGTGATTTCACTAAAAAAAACTGGATAAAAGCTATTCAAAACGTTAAAGGAAAAAGGCATCTCGCTCGGGTAGTCGAATGTGAGGAAGGCATTCGAGAAGGAGTGCCGAAGTCATGGTGCCTTCAGACAATCGTCCCACTTTGCAATCCTGCATAACAATCAGTAGTGTAGCTTTAAACAAATCAAAATGAACCGTGAGGAAGTGCTTACAAAGTAGGACCACTTTTCAACTAAACACATTTTCGATACTACTGCTGTCATAATGTAGAACCATTAGGATTCAACAACATTCACCAAAGATGCCAGCGACATTGAGACAACAAAGAAGCTCAGTGGCACTGATGCTTGTTTAAAAAAAATTGGAAATAAAAACACAAGAAGAGGTTGACCCGGATGAAATTCCACATAATGTGCAGTTGTTAGCATCAAAACTCTTGCCCGAATTGTACCAGAAATAGTGAACAATCTGAATGCTTCAAGCACAACTTCAGACGGGTAGGAGGTTGAATTTGTTGGACTGATTTCAGCCCGCATAGCAGCGGCCAATGCCGTATTGAAATTCAGATAATCGCCACTTTCCACTTAAATAAGTAGCTGTAGGAAATGTGGTATAAAAGTGCCTCGATTATCTCCTTGCTTGCCTTTATTAAATCCTGCAATCTGCTTTAGCACTTCCGGCGTCACCTTTCCATTGGGGCCAAGGAAAGCAGAGGAGGAGGCAGTAGAAGAGGCACTCGATCTTTGTTCCGAAGAAGAGTTTGATGAATTGGATGCCGACGTAGTGGTGCATGAGAGTGAGCTCATACTGCCATCAGAAAGCGTAATCATACTGATTGGACGCGCCGTCGAGGTCTTCTTCTCTGGATGGTGTGGGTGCTGCTGGCTGACGTTGTGACCGTGACCGTGGAGCTTGCGCAGTTTGTGTGCCGATCGCGACTTGGAGCGATATTGTGAATCACGCTCAGTGGTACCGCCTAATGAATTGACGCCATGACTCCGCACCTTTTCCAGCTCGCGCAATTGAAGACCTATGAAACCGAGAGGGAGCATCAAACATGAGCAATTATTTAAAGTGTCCTACAGGATAAAATACTTAAATTGCAAAAGAAAACCAAATTCTGTTCTGCCGATTTGCAAAACAACTTTGAGTGAAACTATGGCCAAAGTTGTGCAAGTCTCCACTTCCAAATACTACCTCCATCACAGAACATGGACTGATGACGATGCGAGTCACAGGATGGGCTAGTGGAAGACGCAAATGACAAGCCTCGTTTCGCAGGACAGTTCAAGGTTCGACATTTATTAGCCGACTAATATGATTACTCGTGCAGGATGGATGATGCAAAAACAGTTGTAGGTAAGGCAATTCAACACATCTGTTTTGAATTTGCTACTCCAACGAAATGAGCTACTGGAAGCAATATAAAAAGTTCTAAAGGCCGATAAATAAGAGGAAATGGCTAATGCTTTGCGTACGAAAGCAAAAGAGAGCGATCATTAATCCAAAAAAAGTAAATATTGATGCTTCAATAAAAGTTTTCATCAGTCATGGCATTGTAAG